GGGGGGTACTTTATTTTAATCCATCCAGTAGAATATCCTAAAATCCTCACATTTAAGACAAAATATTTCAGACTAAAGTTGCTCAGTTACAAGGGGGAAAAAAGAAAATGATGCCCTTAGTTAACCTTAAAAGATAATTCTTATAAGAGTCTTATAAGGTCAGGTCAAGGTTATCTAAATTTTTTTAATAAAGTAATATATATTTTAATGTATAAAAAATAATATAATATCTGAGTTCAAAAAGTTTAGAATACAAAATAAAGATGTAAACAAAAAAAATATTTTCCAATTTTTTACAACTGATTTACTAGGAGAACTTTAGTGTTGGCGTGAAATACCCGCAATGCAGACGGAGAGTTAATATTTCATATCAATATTAGCCAGAGAAAAAGTATAAAATATCTCATAAACTATTGGTTTTTTAGTATTTCTATCTTACGGAATAATTAGAGGAATTGATATTATATATGAAAACAACATTATGTAAAGAAAATATATAATTTTTTTTTAAATTGTGGGTAACCTTGACATGACCTTAAGGACATCTTCTCAAGGTCAATCAAGGTCATCTTCTTTTCTCCTTGTAATTGAGCAACTTTTGTCTGAAATATTTTTGTTCTTAAACTTAAGAATTTCGAGATATTCTACTGGATGGATTAAAATAGACCTATTATAATATAGGGTAACTCTGGTATATACGCCGCACCTATCAAAAACTTAATTTATTGAGTATTATTTACTATGTTTATAGTAAACGAACTATATCAGTAAAAACTTTGTACTGTCTATTGCTATGAAAAAAATATTTAAAATCCGAAATATTTATTTTTCATATTAAAAAAGAAACTTTTTGAAACCCTTGCATTTTTACTGTGTATCCCATAGGGATGTGATATACATTCATGTGTATGACTATTCATAGGGGGAGGGGAGGGGGAGTATGTACGGTTCATGAAAAATTTACAAATAATGCATATAAATAAGACGTATAATGACACAATAACTTATAAAATGTGTTTATAAAGGAATAAAAATGGTAAATATGTATATGAAGTAATAAATAATAATTACAATCTTCCTACATATATTACAAGTGTTATGACATGAGGTACATATTTCATATAATGTGTTTATTGCATTTAGTGCTCTGAATACAATCTGCGCACTTTGTATGCTTTAGGCATAAATCTTGTTCGCTAAAAATGCCGTATATTCCAAACAGGTAGGATATACAAGACAACAAACTAAATAAAGAATACGAAAACAAAGCACTTGTATTTTGCTACACGACATTCTTTACTATTCCACTACACGTATGTATCATGAAATAATCACTAAGTCTTTTATACGCCCTACATTAATCATTTAATGTAGATTATAATTTATGATGGCGTTACTTATTACAGTGACAAATCGATTCACAATAATTTCATTAATATTAACAGTAAGAAGCTAAAATCATAATACAATACTAATATAACATAAAGGCATATAACGAAGTAGTTGCGGGAAAATTACCCTCACTCCTTCTATTTTTTCTGACTTTTGCGGCGTAAATCCCAGCGCGACGTATTTGCCGGAGTTATTATTCCGAATATAAAAGTAATAAGATAGAGATACTAAAAAACCATAAATAGTTTACGAGATATGTTATACTTCATTTTGGCAAATATTGATATGAAATATTAACTCTCCGTCTGCATCGCGGGTATTTCATGCCTACACCACAGTTCTCCTAGTAAATCAGTTGGAAAAAATTGGAAAAAATTTTTTTGTTGTTTTACATCTTTATTTTGTATTCTAAACTTTTTGAACTCAGATATTATATTATTTTTTTATACAGCAAAATATATATTACTTTATTAAACAAATTACCCTACATACTATAATAATATATACTATAATTTATATTATAATAATATTTCTACATTATTACATTTTTATTGTATATTTTAAATATATATATAATGTGTATTTTTTTCTAAAATTCTTTGACTAATCTTGTTTTCAATTTTCTCTTAGCAAAATTATCGATATCATTATTTATTAATTATTTTTCTCATTTTATCAATATTTAATATCACATTTTAATAGAAATATATTTGGAACTTTAATTTCAAAATAAAGTTTATTTAAATTTAACTGAAGAATGCGATTTTGTGAACTATTCGTTTGTAGCAAAATTTAAAAAAAAAAGCATTTTATTCTTTATATTAAAAGCTATAAAGAAAATATTTTAATATCTTTTAATATCTTTATGAAAGAAACGTTCACCTAAATTTGGCTAAAAGTTTGCAACTTATAAGGAAGTACATTTAGTGACAGTTACTCTGTATTCATAGTTTCATTTTTATTGTCTATCTTCGCATTTTCCATATGTAATCAAATTATCTTTTCAAATTTTGATTTTATTCGTTTCAAAAATGATCAAATTCTGTACGTAAAACTTCATCGTAGCGACCTCGAAACTTACGCAATCGCGTACAACGTGAGATTTGTTGGAACACTGTGCGAGATCCAATTGTCTCGCTCCAGTGACTACAAATAATTGGTACGATTGGACCAATTCCAATTCTAGGAACGTCTCAAATCAATTGTGATACTTGTTGCTTCGGATTAGAAATCGTCTAATTTTCTTTTCCATATATCTTCATGATATATTTCCTTTAAAAAAGATAATTCTGGATATATTCGCCTTACAGTAACATTTAATTGAGTCGATAATTGCAAAAGGAACTGTTAAAAGGACTAATTATTGTTATTAAATAAAATAATCAATTATTTTTCTACATAATGACCAATAATATCCAATATGTATTTCATTTATATTTTCGATGAAGTTAAATAACTAATAAGGGATGAAGAATTATTTATTTCTGGGGAATTTTTTCTCCAGATTAATTATATTAATTGCGTTATGAATATCTAAAACCGTTCATATTGTCAAATTTAAGATAATCTGTGACATATATACTCAACACTGTAAATATCAATATTGCCGGATGAGATAATCTACAAGATATAAAGACCATAAATCATTCTATTATACATATACTTACAAGTTACAATACGCGGTCAGCCAAGCGGGCCGTAGAAAATGCGGATGTGCTGAAAAACCAGAATTACGCAACCTCATCGACGATTCCGAAGAAGTAGACGGAAGAAACATCAGGAATTCGAACGCTAACGGAAAGGCCTCAAGACGCATCGCCGTTTCTCGAGGAATATGCCAGCGAAACGATCGAAGATTCCCGAAGATTAAAATGCTAAGAATTTTCACCGCTTCCGCTAATTACGTATGCTGCTTGAGAATACCTTACATGTTGCTCCTTTTTTACAATACTATTTTATATAACAATATGTATGAAGCATTAATTCATTTCATAATGTCTGAAGCACATCTCATGTATTTTTATCTAAAAATACATGAGAATAAAATTTTTAATATTTATAAAATTATTTTTTCGAACACTTTTCAAATTTATTTATTTAACTGCTAATAATCAGAATATTATGTAAACTGCACTTTAATTGCCAAAGCAAAATATGTCATTTGAAATAAAGTTTATGTTCTAGATTGCTTTTTCAGTCAGACATGACGTCTTTCGCCGTTGTTATGAATTTTTTATTTCTGCAGAATCATAAATGTTGTACGTAAGATAAACTGAGTAATATATAAATCGATATAAAGACACAAAAATGACATACATTTATTCAGTAAACTTGGATATATGTATATGTTATAATAACAAGTGTTAGAAATTTTTATTATTGAGTGAGTATAATAATACTTAAAATAAAAAATAAAATAAATATCGTGCTTAATAAAAAATTAATGCGCTCGTAAAAAGTATGCAAGATAGCGTGCGATATAAAAAAGAGTGAAATAAAGAACAAATTTCCTACTGTCCTATGTAACTTCGAGGTAATCGATAAAATCGAACGATATCTACCAGAGCTACACGTCAAATGGCACGCGATTAATGTGATACGATTCATGTAATGCGATCGAGTTCCGCTGTACGTATTTACATATGCTCACGATAATGCCCCTCGTGACAAGATTCAATTATGAGAATTCATACGAATGAACAGTACACACTTCTTGATATATACTTCTTGTTTTCACATATACATAGATGTATGTAACGTACGAAAAATGTCATAAAATTATTTCCTTTTAACTAAGAAATTTGATTAATTCGTATTATCTTTTCATAATTTTAAGTCTTGGAACAATAGATATAAATTAAACTTCAGATAAGAAGAACAGAGAACAAAACTCTTTTCCCTTAATTACTAATTATTTAACTAGTTAAATGGAAATCAGTATTTTATAATTTAATTTGAATTAATTATCATAAGTTAGGATAAAAAATTATGAAGATTCTTTTATATAGTGATAAAATATATAAGCAAAGTAAATTATAT